TTCGACAGCAAGTCGTTTACTTTGAGAGCCAAGGGTGGTTTATGGATAGATTTCAAAAAGCTGTGATATGATATAAATACTCATAATATTAATGTGAATGCATCTCTGTTTTGTTTATATAGTGTTTCTTTGAAATTAATTTTAATTTATTTTTGCTATGTGATTATGATATTTACTAACTATATTAATATTTGTTTTATCATTAAAAATTATTGTACATCTTGACTCCATGTGTATTTTGTTATTTAATATTGAATATATTATGTTTGTATAAATCAGAATTCAAAATTACTTAAACAATGTTTTAATAACTAACAAGTCCACTCAATAAATCTAGTTCGAATGTAATGAAAAAACAGTAGTATGTCTGAACAAATTGCACATGAACTAAATCTTAGTTCTTTAAAGCATTATCCATCTATTATTCATTGACTATAATAGCTACCTTAATACGACTTCAGTATTTTTCAACTCGCTTTGTAAGAAAAATGCTTTCAACTTACTTTGATCAATCCTGCTCGAGGTGGGGAACGTTTGGAAATCATTTCTAACTACTTCTCACTTTTGCTTTCATGTGTTTATTTGATATTTTGCAATAGCCCAAGTAAATGCTTTACACACTTTTTATATTAAATATCTTCATTCATTACATATAAATTGATAAAAGACAGATATTCTGTAGAAATATTAGAGCCTTTCGAAGAATATGTAGGACATATTTCACAATTGTATATATGAATATATTTCAAAGGATACATTTGTTTGTCTGTGAAAATAGCATTTGATTAAAAAATTGATTAGATTTAGACGCAGTCAAATAATATATACCTGTAACAATATATAGCTGAATGTACTTTGTATAGTTTGCTATGAAAAATAGATAAAAAAAAAGATTTTAAAAAGGCCTGTAATTGATAATTATAATGAATTATCATGAAAAGCTAGGTTGTAATGATTATAGGTTAAACACTTCTTCAATATTGCAAAAGATATTTATTATCACTTGTTTTTACTACATGTAGTTTTATATATGTAAGCTAATGAATTATTAAAAAAGTGAGATGAATCAATTAATTAAAATCTTACCAAATAAATATTTATAAAGCACTTTTAATTCTAAAGCACGTTTTTATACATAACCTAAAAATCGAGACAAAGTCAAAAGCACGAATTTTAAACTTTATGGTTACATCAAGGTTTGCAATTTTTCGTTCAAAAAATTAATCAGAAATTCAAATCATATTTTATTAACACTAAACTATTAATACTAAATTACATTTAAATAGTTTTTCAACTTTCCATCAATCAAACACACTACACAACTGTCATGTTTTGTCAGCGCCATGTTTTTAGAGCTGTCAAACGAATAAACCAGGCCCGCATTTTAACAACTTTTAATATATTTTAAAATAGACCGACGGATGACACATAGATAAAAGGAGAGTATAGATAAGAAAAGATGAGATGACATATCAGTATTCACCATATATTATAGAACAAATATATAACTCTCTCAACAATTTATGAAAACTGCAACAAAAATACATTTACATGTAATCAGCAGTTTATAGCTCATTATATAATGAAATATATAAACATAAACTCACCACCTACGCATTTTCAGAAAGGTTTATTGAAGCATACATATTCTTCGTATGAAAACTTCAATAAGAGTCATGGTATTTCAATCAAAACAACTAATTTAACTATTAATCATTGTCTTGTATTTCAAAAAGATCAAAAGAAATGAAGATACACCTTGTCTACTGCTACGAATAAAATTGCTAACTACTAGCAAAATAAATGAAATTTATTCTGTGCTTTACTCAATCACTCAATCTATTCTTTTCCCCATATTGTTCACAAACACCTAAATTTTGCAATTATCGTATATATTGTGTAAATGTACAGTTTTTTCTATGTTTAATAGCTCAATTACAATAATATTAATGTTAAAACAACATTCCAGTCACCACTACGTATTAAAATAACCCAAAACAATAACATGCATTTTTATTTCAAATAATTATTCAAAATATATACCTCTGACAATTCAGCAAGCGGCTCTGCAGAATACTAGTAAAATTTCAATTAAAATGCGTCTGTTCTCCTAATACATTCGGAGCACAATTCGTATGAAAATGCCCAATTTATATGAATGTTATAGGAATTGTCCGCCATGTTGCTATTGGAGCTGTCAAAACAGAGCCACATTTTATACTACTTGAAACATGTAAATTATTTTTCAAAGTCCTTAATACATTATTATAGTAAAATCACTTGCTCACTACTCTAACTATTAATGAATTGTGTTTCTTATTGTTCAATTAATTACAAAGAAACGGCCCGATAGCCAATCCAAATACCAATCAGCACGGTTCAAGATTTTTGGCTAAAACGTGAACAAAACATTTTGCACGTTTTTGTACAACTAATCAGTACGAGTCCTTTATGAAAGATTTTTATGAAATTGGTACAGCTGTTTTTATCTCAAAACAACAGAATGCATTTTTACCTTATAAATATATTCATATAATTACCACTAACAATTCAGCAGGCGGCCCTGAGCAGTATGAGCGGGTTTGTGAAATACAAAATAGCGTCTGTTCTCCTAATACATCGAATGGATTTGCGACGAGATTTTGTATGGCAATGAAATTGATATTTATTGAATTATATACTGAAATTGATTCATTCTACAAGGAGAACAGTCACAAATCCGCAAATGAAATAAAGTCAGTATTATGCAGGGCCGTCTGATAAAACGTTAGGGGTAATAATTTTGAATATTAAGTTAAATGAAAAATGTAACTTATTGTTATGTAAATGATAAATGTAACTTATTGTTACTTATTAATATTATTGTAATTGAGCTACTAAATATGCAAAATGTAATCGTATATATGTGTTAAATCAATAAAAGGGATAAATTATTATAAATTAAATAAAAATTGATATTTGAACATGGCTATTAATTATTGTTTGCTAAAAGCAATCTGAAATATTCAATAAAATGCACATAAATTTTGTAATAAAAGAATCAAACTAAATTAATTATACTTGTATTTATGTAAAAACATTAAACAATTTATCATCTAAGCTACTAATATATGTTATCCTATACATATACATGAAATACATTTGAAAGATATAATTAATTTATAATAATTTGATATCATTATCACACTTCACAATAATAGATTGGACTAACACAATTTCAAGATGTCTGTTAAATACATATTACTATTATAATACACAATAAGATGTACTTAACTTGTAAATTAGCAATTAGAATATATTTTTTCTTGCTTTGATAAATAATTATTTAATAAATAATTTGTCAGTATGTAATATAAAATAAATATGGATCTCAAATAAAAAAACAGTATATAAGTCTAACAAAAATAAGTAAAAGCTTGTAATTAAAATTATATAGGTACATTGATTTTACAAAAATGAAGCACTCTCTTTAATCACACACATTCTGAGTTTAAATTAGAGTTTATCTGATTAGAACTGTATGTACAACTTGTTAAAACATATTGGTACTTCTGGTCTTAACAATAATAATAAATTAATTTAATTACTATCATATACCATTTAAATCTCAATAATGCACATCTATTGAATATCATAAGTTGTATAAAAGATTATACACTCTTCACTGAGTCTATATAAAACCCATCATATATAACAAAAACTACTATTTAAGCATTTACACTGTCTTCTCACATCAATAACCAACTCCGTTTGTAGATCATTACAATATTTTCGGTCAAATATTTCGGAATATTTATCATTTATTGCCTTTGCAAGCTGTTGACAGAAAAATAAGCTGGTGAACTGGTGTGTGAAACCGTAAAAAGTCTAATCTGCGTTCGAGGTGGTCCACTTGTAAGAATCTGAATCTGAACTCAGAAGATTCTCAAAACAACCTAGATAGGCATGTTGCTCTGGATTCTTGGTATCTCCTTATAATGGAAAAGATTGTGTTGTAATAATAAATATTAAATTATAGTATTACTAATATGAATTAAATAATGAACTACATCATTAGATAAAGTATACAAAATGTTAATGGTTAACAATAAAATATTCAATATACCTAAGAGTTCCATGATGGCTGAAGCTTGAATGCTTGAGACCAAATAATCATCTTGATCTAATGGTAAGTTTAATTTTAGTATTCCTACATGTGCAAATGTGCATGTTAAAAATAATTTGAGCAGAAGTATCTGTAATAAAAGTTGAATTACACAAATAATTGAAAAGTTTAACTGATAATGCTACCACTGTAAAAACCATATGCTGGTTAAATGTATGCCAAATCATTTATAAGAGACAAAAATAATTTACTGATAGTTTCTCTTGAGCCTAAATTAAGTTTCTGAAATTAATTCAAGAAAAGTTCTTTAATTTCCATTTCCACCAATATTTATTTTTTTTCTCAGCGCATACATATTAACATTTTTATTCTTATATCAAATTTCAAATTTTTATATAGCTGTGTATTTTCAGCACAATAAATAACTAAAGTCAAAATAATATGCAAGCTGCACATTATTTTTCATTAAAATAATAATAATATGATTATAAAAACAGATCAAGATATCTATTCAAGATCAAGATGGATAAAATAGAATCAATCATGTTGATAATCCTAAGTCTGTATGTACAAAAAGTGGAATGTGATTTCTCTACTATCTATAATTAATGGTAGTTGAATACTTAATTTTACAGCAAGGAGAGCGCTTTACTTCATATTTCTACAACTATGAAATAAATATCACCTTTAAATCTTTTTATAAAATATTTACATAGTAATTAGTGTTTTATCTCTTGTTTGAAGAACAACTTATTTCTATTTTTAGTACTAATGAAAAACTAGTGGCAACTTACTTCTATAAAATATAAATTATAAACAGTAAACTTAGTTATTATTCAAATATATATAAATATATATAATTAAGCTTTAATATAGTTTATACACTTTGCAGGCGTTTGTGTTCTAATAGTCATTCAACTATTTAACTTAACATAACTAAATTATATAATAATATAAAATTAGTTAATCCAGTCTATAAATTGCTTATTATTCAAGTCATACAAGCCTGAAATGTGATATTGTCAAACAAGGAAATTCCTGGAGAAGTTTTAAACAATCTACATTGTTATGACAACTTCATGGATTTTTTCCTCTTCTTGCTGTTGCTGCTGCTGCTGTTGTTGTTGTTGTTGCTGCTGCTGTTGTTGCTGCTGTTGTTGTTGTTGCTGCTGCTGCTGCTGTTGCTGCTGATCTTGTTCCTCCTGTTTTAAAATAACTATCTGTGGTGGTTGAGCAGGTTGTCTTGGAGCTGTTTGACCTATACAAGTAATAAAATTAAAATAAATATAAACAAATAAAGATAATACTTTTAAAAAAACATTAATATCCCTTACCATATTTTTCATGAATGCCTCTGTGTCGTTTTAATGCAAATCTATCAGCAAATGCAGCAGAACATATATCACATTTGAAGGGTTTCTCTCCAGAATGAACCTGTAATTAATAATAATAGGAAATATTCATTATATTATTACACTTTAATTATCAATAGTCAGAAATAATAATTAAATTAAAAATTGACACAAACCTTTGCATGATTTTTCAAGTGAGCAGCTTGGCTGAATGCAGAGCCGCATATATCACATTTATAAGGTTTTTCTCCTGTATGAATTCGCCTATGATTCCAGAGTGTTGCATGTCTTGCAAATCCTTTATCACAAACCTGCAATGAAAATATTATATTAGATAAATTTAGTATTTAACAGCCAAATCCAAAAATCTAAATTATAGAAAATGTATTTTATAGAAATCTATTGAAATCTATTGAATTATATGCTACAACTTCGCTGAGTTTGGTTTTAATGTCATACAACTAATTACCTCGCAAACATATGGTTTTTCACCACTATGTGTACGCTCATGATTTTTCAAATGTGGTGATTGTGAAAACTGCATACCGCATGTATTGCATCTGAAATTAGATAGAATTTTAGTATAACTGTATTTAATACGACTTATAAACTTAAATGCATTGTTTTTACCTATATGGTTTCTCTCCTGTATGAATTCTTGAATGATTCTTAAGATAAACTGCTTTAGCAAAAGCCAATCCGCAAATTGTACATTTGAAATTCTTTTCTCCACTATGTAATTTTTTATGAGACCACAAACTAGAATATCTAGAAAATGAACCTCCACAAATATTGCAATGAAAAGGTTTCTCAGCACTAAAATAAAAATAGTTATTATTAGAATATTACAATTAATATAATATTTGTTTCTTGTTTATTTCAGAATAATTACTTCGCATTTTGCAGTTTATTTTTATTACCACCTATAAAAATAATTCCTGAGCCATTGCATTTGTGACATTTTGTAACTGAAGCAATATTCCTTTTCTTAACAGGATGATGTCCTTTAATAGATATAAAATCAATCAATAAATTATCATCAAAAAATAAAAAAGAACATTTAGATTTCATTTTACATTTCATATAAAATCTGTAATTGGTTTTCTTACCCGGTAATGGTTTTTGTCCAAGAGGTATAACATTTTGTGTCCCGAGATTGTCCATTGTTTGACCATCCTGTTGTTGCTGCTGCTGCTGCTGTTGCTGTTGCTGCTGACCTTGATTTGTTATTTCAGTCATTTCAAATTTAACATCACCATCAGGGGCAACAAAAATTTGTGTTGCAGCTAAAAATAGTAATACATGATAAAAGAAATGAATTATATAAATATTACTCAAGTTATTCACAATAAATGTCTAATTTCAATAATTATTCTTTAGAAGTTGTTTTTTTTTAATCTATTATCATCCACTGATGCATAATCATAAGGTGTAAAAAAATATATAACTATTACTTGAAATTTATTTGAGAAATGAATTGAAATTAACAATATTGATAAATATATTACCTCTAACATGAGAAACATTATCATTATTAATACAAGTTTCACATCTAATCAGTTTCGGTCCTTTACGTTTTGGATTAATTATGATTGGTCCACCACATGTAATACATTTTTGATTTTTATCTATTGTAACCATAGTTGATTTTGTGATTGCCAATTGTTGTTCTTGTTGTTGCATCGCTTGGCTTGTAGCCGGTTCTAATGTTTCTGTGGCCACAATTTGTATGGCTCCTGTAAAATATAGTTTTTAAGCATTAATTATATACAGTTACTAATAATTTTACAGAATGCAATAATAATAATAATATTAATGTATTTTAAAAACTTGTACAGTTACTGTGTTTATGTTAAATGCATCCATATTCATGAGAATAAAAAAAATTTAAACAAAGAACTCTCATTGAATCTTTTTAAAGGCTGAATCAATTATTAATCACTGATGGCTATCTGAATGCAAAGTAACATCAAAAAAATATGTGAATTTGAAATTGTTTATCCCCATAAAAACAAAAAATATCCTTTACTATTATTACCTTGTAATGTTCCCAAACTCTGTCCATCTTGCACTAAGTTCTGTGCAGATACTAAATTTTGAGCCTGGGCAACAACAGTAATATTTCCATCAGAATCTTGATCCTGATTATGAATTCTCTTGTGATGATTCAAAAGAGTTAAATGTGCAAACATTAAACCACAAACGTCACATTTAAAACTTATATTAGATATTGTATTCGGTATTCTTCCATCAATGGTAACTCCAGTTACCCCATTCTGAGCTAGCTGCATTTGGTTAACTAAAGCATAGTTATAACCGAACGGTTGTGCAATATAACAGGTTTTATTATCATCAGTCAATTGAGCTAAATTTACAGTGCTGGTGTGTGCCTGGGAGGCTGGTGTCAATTTTTGAATCATATTTACATTGGTGTAACAGAATGTTGGAAACTCTTGTTGAACTTGCTATAAAAGAAGAATTAAAAGTTAGTAAAATATTTTAAGTTTACAATCTATCAATACTAAACTTATCATCTTATTAAATGATATTAATATATTATTTTAAATATATTTAGAATATTTTATACATTTCTTAAAAATTCTTAGATTATTATTTTGAGTGTTGAAATAATTTAACAAAAACTTGAATGTCTAGTGTAGAAATTCAAGAAAATAATTTTTTTAATTTTTATCTTCTATCATATTTAAGAATATGTGTACTTGCTGTAAAAAAGAATTTACATTGAGTAAAATATTTTAAGTTTTCTATCTATCAATACTAAACTTATCCTCTTATTAAATCAAATTAAAATATTATTCTAAATATATTTAGAATATTTTATACATTTCTTAAAAAATCTATTATTTTGAGTGTTGAAATAATTTAAGGAAAACTTAAATTTCTATTGTAGAAATTCAAGAAAATAGTTTTTTTATTTTTATTTCCAAAGTTTAACCATTTAAGAATATGTGTACCAGAAGATTTTTGAAAATTTATGTTATCTTCGGAGATACAGCTGTTTGAACATGATAATCTCTTTTGTTTCCTTTTCCCAAAATTGTCTTTTTCAATACAATGCCCACAATTTTGCAAGTTCTACGTGATTTACTTAAAATTTTTGGAGAATCTTCTTTACAGACTTCCCTCAGGCACATACTAGCCTCATCTCAGTATTTTAATACTTACTATTTTTTGAAAAAAATCGAGAGACTCAAAGAAGAGATAAAAAATTGATCCTTTCTTTTTCAGTCACCATTTTGTCAAAAACCTATTCTTAAACTTAATCCAAAGTATATACCAATTGACATCATTCTATATTAATAATCTTTTTTGCAACTTTCCACTTCAACAACAATGGCTAAAGTTTTCAATTATTATCTCTATTTTGTTTTAAGTTTATTCTGTATTCTTGTAACATTGATAAAGAAATTATAAAAAAGATAATAGCATAAAAATTATTGGTCTTTTTTATGATTTAAATATAACTTTCACTAAATTCATGCCACTACACTAAAATACCACCTTAAGTCGAATGAATCATACCTGTTGATGTTGACTTATTTTTATTTGAGTATTATCAATCGTTTTAACTTGGGGCTTCTGGCCCATGTCAGCTTGCTGATATTGCAAAGTTGGTGTCGTTCCTCCAGCATTTTGTAAGGCATTTGAAGTAGTAAACATTGCAAGAAATTTTCAACTTCGATCCTATATAAATAGTAACTAATTAATAATTTTGAAATTGAACAAAGAAGAAATACTTTACAAGATAAATATTATACTATCAAGAAAGTGGAGGTGAATAAAATATTTATTTAACAAATATCAAGAAACAATAAATAACTGAATGAACAATATTCTTGAGATCAAAAGGATTTAACTAATTCTTGGGACTCAAAAAACAGGTTTATTAAAAAGCAAAAGAACTAATATTTGATTCAAAAGCATAACTTAGAATACCAAACATTTAAAAGTTGAGACAGCATAAATACAAATAATTATTCACTCACTATTACTAAAATAATATATATTATTATAAACTGCAAAATATATTATGGTTACCCGTCAAAATAAAATATTTTACCTTGTAACAAGGAACAAAATTAGTAAGAAAAACTTCTAAAAATAACTGAATGAACAATATTCTTGAGACCAAAAGGATTTAACTAATTATTGGCACTCAAAAAACATGTTTATTATAAAGCAAAAAAACTAATATTTGATTCAAAAGCATAACTTAGAATATCAAACATTTAAAAGTTGAGACAGCATAAATACAAATAATTATTCACTCACTATTACTAAAATAATATGTATTATTATAAACTGCAAAATATATTATGGTTACCCGTCAAAATAAAATATCTTACCTTGTAACAAGGAACAAAATTATTAAGAAAAACTTCTAAAAATAACTGAATGAACAATATTCTTGAGACCAAAAGGATTTAACTAATTATTGGCACTCAAAAAACATGTTTATTATAAAGCAAAAAAACTAATATTTGATTCAAAAGCATAACTTAGAATATCAAACATTTAAAATTTGAGAGCATAAATACAAATAATTATTCACTCACTATTACTAAAATTATATATCATTATAAACTGCAAAATATATTATGGTTACCTGTCAAAATAAAATATTTTACCTTATAACAACGAACAAAGTTATTAAGAAAAACTTCTAAAAATAACTGAATGAACAATATTCTTGAGACCGAAGGATTTAACTAATTATTGGGACTCAAAAAACAAGTTTATTAAAAAGCAAAGAACTAATATTTGATTCAAAGGCATAACTTAGAATATCAAACATTTAAAATTTGAGACAACATAAATAAAAATAATTATTCACTCACTATTAATAAAATCATACATAATTAAAAACTGCAAAATATATTATGGTTACCTGCCAAAATAAAATATTTTACCTTGTAACAAGGAACAAACTTTTTAAGAAAAACTTCTAAAAAAAGTATTAGAAAAGAATTTACTTCATGTTATGTTTGTAATAATTAATTTATCTAGGCTGTTTAGGCTAAAATAATAATGCATAGTTGTGTCAAACATGTTTAAAAAAATATAAATATTTAATAATATAAAATGATATTTAAGAAACACATCGATATTACAAAAGAACACAATATTTTGTTTATTGAACAAAGAACGATTGTTTCTTCCTAAAAAATCATGAAAATAGGCAATAAAGCTCAAACATAAATATTGAGCGAGACCGCGATAAAACATGAGAGAATGTAAAGGAAATATATATTTTCCTTTGTCAAAACGTACTTTAGAAATATGTTCTAAGGGGAAATTGTTGAGCAAGAAAGGGATAACGCATAAATAGAATAGCTGCGGCTACGATGCTTTGACAAATGACTCAAAACTATTAAATAACTCAAGATTTAAGTCCAATATGGATTAAATAGAAACACTTGACATTTCTATTTAATAGTAATAGATAAATATCGCTTACCTTAATTGTAATGTCAAAAATACACAGTAAAACAATCTTTTGTCTCGCTTTAATGGCGATTCGGCTTGTACATATTAGATAAATATGAAACGGAGATACATATGAAATGGCGACAATTAGACAAGGAGAACGCTACGACGCTATGGAGAATTTGCGTATCCGGTGGTACCACACCCTAGACAATATACTAATATAGACGTTTCTCTCTCGCGGTATTTGCGTTCAGAGAGCTAGGGAAAGTCACGACCGCAATATTGGGTGATGGCGCTTTAATCGCATGTCGCTCGGCAGCCTCGTGCTCCAAAATGCATTCAAATTAAAGCGCCAAAATTAGAAATAAAAGAAAATTGTCAATTTTAAAAATAATTTATTTGTATTTAAATTTTGCATTACAATAGTCTTATATTGACATTGTTATACAATAACAAAACATATTTATTTAAAAAAAAGGAAAAACAAAAAGTTTAACGAATTACAGGATTCCTGCCTTCAAGTGGATAATCATTCATTATTCACTACCAATAATGTTGTGAACACAAAACATGGTGTTTAAATTATAGTGTCTGTGCATTACTTTATTAACTAATAATCATTCCAAGTAAGATTTGTCACTTTTCAGCACATTCTTTGCGATAAATCCAGTCATGCTAAATGGCTCTTGATATTATCTTGAATATTCAAAAAACTGCTGCATTAAATTAACTTATTTTATCATCTTGCACGGCAATTGGATTTCGTTCATTAACTCAGTGGCGTTCCTAAAAAATGTAAAGTCTAGTCTATTTATGCTTTTCCATATATATTTAAGAGCCTCCAAAGTTTAATACAATTCTGAAAAGTTAGAGGAGCCTTGCCTTTCTTATAAAAGAGCCCTAGCTTGCTCCCAAAATGTATTGTGATTAAATTTTTATTATATACACTGCTTTAACAACTGCTTTATATCCTCTTCATTTAAGAGTTATAGATTTTGTTTGAATCACAAATAAAACCGTATAAACAATTATAAAACACTTGTAAACACAACAATCATAATAAGAATCAAAACAAAATTTTGACATTTCTGGTACATATTGCTCGTGAATTACTAACCTGTCAAACTTGTCATCGGCTTACTAGCGCCAAATTTGCGCCTAGCGGTCGTGACTGGAACTACGCGTTGTGAACGCGGATTTTGTACTGAGATAATAGGGCCTGGTACCACACTTATAATAACATTCGTCGTCTTGCCATCGTGAATTTATTTCAGAAACAACAAAGGCATAAACAGGTAAAGCTTGGTGTAAAATCTTTTTTCCTCATTTATCATGGACTTGTTATATTTATATAAATATTTGAATAAAATGATTTTAATTATTCAATTACTTATACTTAGAGTTATGCTGCATTATATTTATTAAATATCCATTTTTAGCATATTTAGCACTATTTATTACCTTTCATCAAACAAAACAAGTATTTAAAATAAAAGAACGCCACAATTATATCAATAATATATTTTTATCAATGGTTATTACCTAAAAATCATAATGCATTTTACATGCATTAGTTACGCTTATTCCATTTCACTCAAAATCAGTTAAGTTTACCATCTCTTCTTTGATGTGTTCTTTGGTGAGAAGTGGCAAGTGTGCAACTTTAACTTTAGAATTAACTATTTGTCGTTTGTAGTTCTGCTTTATTTCAAGAAATATTTTTTATTGTCAAAGTAAAATTGTTGCATATAGAAATCGCACAATAAACCCAATTTATATTGTAGTCTAAGCGTGGCTAACCAAGGTACCAAAAGGTAAGGCTATTCCCAAAAATACATAAAATGTGTTTCTGATTATCCAAGTTGCAATGATTGCTTTTGGAATGAAATTATAATTTCAATATATACCTTCTAATAACATGGAAAATTTGAAGTAGCTCTTTTTTAGCAATCTGCACTTTTCGCAATAATTGAATTAACATTTTCACTATTATTTTAACGGTGCTGTGACAGTTCTCTACTATTATAGGAAAATGAGCAGTTCTGAGGAGGTCTCATGGATATCTTGGTTTTGTGGTCTACGAGGAAATGAATTCTTTTGCGAGGTTTGTCTTAAAATTTATTGAAGAATGCTAAATATAGATATTAAAAAAAAAAAATTTTTGTAGGTGGATGAAGACTATATACAGGATAAATTCAATCTAACAGGCCTTAATGAGCAAATTCCACGATATAGACAAGCCTTGGATATGATATTAGATTTAGAACCTGGTAAATATTTTAGATGTAACAATCTTAAACTTTCTCATGAGTCATGATATAGAAGATAGCCATTAGTTTGAACAATTGGTCTTCTTAAACAATAATTTTTTTCTCTATGTAGATGACGAAATAGATGATAATCCAAATCAGTCAGATGCAATAGAACAAGCTGCAGAGATGTTATATGGTCTAATTCACGCCAGATATATTTTAACAAATAGAGGTATAGCTCAAATGATAGAAAAATACCAATCTGGAGACTTCGGATATTGCCCTAGAGTTTACTGCGATAGTCAGCCTATGCTGCCATTAGGTAAGTGGTAATAAATAATCTTTGTCCTTAGAAACTTAATTCACATTTTTTTTTTATAAAGGTCTTTCTGATGTGCCTGGAGAGGCTATGGTAAAGTCCTACTGCCCTAAATGTATGGATGTTTACGTACCCAAGAGTTCAAGACATCATCACACGGATGGTGCCTACTTTGGCTCTGGCTTTCCACACATGTTATTTATGGTTCATCCTGAATATAGACCAAAACGGCCAGCAAATCAATTTGTACCAAGGTAAAAATAATTGTTTTTTTCCTATTTTACAATCATAATCATCAATCCTTTTATTTAATTGCAGATTATATGGCTTCAAAATACATCCACTCGCATATCAAATTCAGCAGCAAGCTAACTCAACTTTTAAAGCCCCTTTGCGGATTCTCAACTTTAACAATGGAAAACGTTAGCTGTATAATGAAAAGTAAATTCTAAAAGCATAAAAATAACCTAATAATAAATTCATAATTTGACTTACATACACCTGTTTTTATATGGTATTCGTACATATATTGTTAAAAGTGATCTTTTCCTGCAGTAACTGATGAATTAAATGTTTAGTAAAATTAATATTATTTAAAAGTATGTAATAAGTTATAGGTAAACTATAAAATTTTATTGTATAAAAATACAAACTATTGTTTTCTTTATTTACCATTTAATTAGGTAGACTTTCACTCAAAGCTTGCTCCAATAGGGGTAATAAATTGTGTTTGTATAGCTCATGTTTCTCGCCATGGGTTATTTTAAGGATTTCTTGTGCATTTTTAAGTCTGAAACAAGTCAGTAAATACTAAATTTTAATTTTGAATTCAAGCATGAAATAAAAGCATTTTAAAATATACCTTTCTAAAGACTCTGGCTGATTTTGAAGAAGTAATATTTTTCCAAGTTTTAAATATAATAACCCCAAGAGTGGATGGAAATTACCATAATATAATCTACAAAAAAAACATTGAACTCACAAGAATGCCCCAAAGCCTAATTATTGTTAAATTCCCAGATAATGCTTTAAATATTTCAGAATTTTAATTTCTTATTCTAATTCACCTGAAACCATGCAGTAATTGATTTCCATAACTTATTGCATCGTTCCATAAGCACATTTGAATTGCACTTTCAAAAGCCATATCCAATATTTTAACATACAAAATATTTTTTGGATGTAATATACCTGACATTTTCTTCAAGCAAATTTTGCATACATCTAAATCTGAAAATAAAAGTTTATGTTAATTTATAATTATATTTTATTACCATGTTTCAAATTTTTTACATGCTATGTCCTTCATTTCCTCTAGTTTCATTTCGATAAACTCTTTAACTTCGTGATATGTCTGCATATGTTCTTCAGAAACTTTTGTTGTACATTTGTTGCAAATTTTATCAGAAAATGATGCATCTATAGGTTCATCACAAAATGCATTCATGCAACATGCACTATTCATAAGTTTTGTTTCTGAATCATCCAAACAATGATAACAAGTACACAGAAAATAATATGTTGATTTCAGATCAATTCTTCTGGCTTCAGTTGTATTTAGTAAATCTATATATGAAATAAATATCTGCAACAAATCACTTAATTGAAATATGTCTTGATGGTAATAAATCAACACATTTTCAATCAGAATTATTTACCTCTGACCAATTTAGACTTGGCAAGTCTTGCAATGTTCTTATATAAAGAGTGGTTCCTTCAAAAACAACAACAGCGTTTGGTGTGCAAGAATGGTCAACAATAGAAATGCCTAGGTATATACCAGTTCCTAGACTGCACATTTCACCATCCAATATGTTGAAGCCATTAACAGTTAACTAAAAATGAACCTGATTTGATAACTTGCATTCAAAAATAAAATCTATATGAATATAAACATTGAAATTATAATTATTTCTTGCTATTGAGAAATGTAGGTATTTCATTTTTAGAAAAGAAACAGAAAAGTAAAAAAGTTAATGATATAGCTTCTCATAATTCATGTAAATTCTTTTACCCGGCCATATAAACCCAACAACTCAGCAGAATTTGGCACTGGTATATCAACTAATAATTGTTCCAAGACAGCTTGTAAACTTTCTAAATGCTCCATTCGTTTCGAATCTAGCTTTATTTCAGCATAATCTGTACAAATAAATCATACAAACACAAATGAATTATTACCCAATAAGTTTGTGATTTAAAATTTGCCAAATATTCATATCCAAAATTGTACTTACGAGACATTAAATCTTTAAACCTTCTATAATTTGTACTTGTGTAATAGCCTTTTTCAAATTCCCCATTTTGCTGTAAAAATATAAATGATATATGTATAAGATAAAATAATTATTTGTTATTTCCCTATGATAAAGTTTCAAACAAAGTTATACTCATGTAGGAAAATAATCTTTAATCCCATAAAAAATATGTCTATCAATACATTTATTGTAATAATACTTGTATTATTCATTTTAGAGTAAACAGGTGCTTATTGTAACAGAAAGGCTGAAAATGTAAAGTTTAATTACCTTTAACTTTATAATTATTCTTAACAGCATTCGAGCTGCATTAGGTACAATTCGTAGACCTGCCCTTCGAAGGCAAGGGCACTCTATTTTATGTATTGTCCAAGCCTCCTTTTGGCAAGCCCTTCCACAATAATACACATATTGGCATCCTGTACATTTTAATAAGTTTGTTCTGAAATAAAAAATAATGTTTACCCTTTGAAGTAATAAGGAAAAAATGATACTTAACATACATTAAATGAGTGTTATGTTTAGAAATTATAATCTTTTGCAAACACACACTATATATGAAATAACAAGAATACATTGAAATTAAAATTAATTCATTAGGCAGGTATTTCTTTTTTAACCATGAATTAGAAAAATAAAAAAGTTAATGATTAGCTGAAGAAAACTTCTCTCATAATTCATGGAAATTCTTATGCATACCCGGCCATATAAACTCAACAACTCAGCAGAATTTGGCACTGAAATATCAACTAATAATTGTTCCTAATTTGATGATATAAACTGAGTTAAAATAAAATTTGAAAATATACTATGAGAGATTTTCCATTGTTAGTTTGAATTGGAAACATATGTATTCTTTATTATCGGGGAATATTTTTTGTGTACATGTGTACAAGAGCTGTAAGGGATAGTTGGTGTTTTTTGTATTTTCAAAAATTAAATGTAAATTAAATAAAATATTGAAGAATGTGTAGTATATCAGTAACTGTTTTGAAATTACACTGAAGATGAGGCATACCATGGTCTCGAAACGTCTGTAATTGCCAAATAAAGTGTGTAAAAAATCTGAGTGTTGTATTGTTCATATTTAACATTAAATATATATATATATATATATATATATATATATATATAAATTCAAATTAATTCTTCTTATTTAATGCTTACTTTATATAATTATAAGCCTTTGCAAACACACACTATATATGAAATAAATTAAATGATTTTGCTAATGCAAAGTCTATGAAATAAGTTAAAATCAAATAGGAACAGATAGTACGAGAGATTTCCCATTGCAAGTACATAAGGCACCGCTTAATGGGTTATCTTTATCATCGTGAAAAAATGCTGATTATATGAAACTGTCCAGAGTATACCATATTAACACAGTTGAATTGAAATAGTAATAAATTTATATAATTATTCTTATTCGTATCTATACCTATGCAAAATTAACGGATTTTTCAGGAACTGAATTATCATAAAATTACTTATTTTGCAGGCATTTAGGGTCTTGAATTACCTTTACAATCTTTTGTATAATTTAGATGGATAAGTTATATATATATATATATATATATATATATATATTTGTGTGTGTGTATGTAACATTTGAATTAATTGATTTTATTTAATGCTTACTTTAAAAAACAGAAATCGCACCGCTCCTTCCGATATTTAGAATTCAACGCATAAACAAATGGCTTTTCAGTTAAAATACAGGTACCACGTTTAATTATTTCAGAAGACTTTAACTTCATTTGCACAATCGATGTTTTCTTATTTCAAAAAGGCTATCTTTTCCTAAAATTAATAACCACACAGGTATATATAACTGCTCAAATAAGCACGCATAAGCCTGTTTCTAAAAATAACAACTCTATAAATACAAGTATGAAGATCATACGAATTTTTCATCGGACGTTTACGATATTTACCTGTTCTAAAAATATGAATATGATATTATATTAAAGATTATTTTTAAAAAACATGGAATGAGATCGCTAGCCGGCTATTTGCGGCTGCTTTTGACGTTTGATACAAATTTTATTGAGTAGTATTGCCTGATTGACATTTTGATCTTTTTTACTTCATAGACAAAAATTTATTGGGAACTTCAAGTAAAATAGCCTAGACAAGATAAACATAGATAAACAAGTATTATATATAGATAAACAAGTATAAATAGATCGCTATGCCAGGCGATTTGCCGTTACATCGATTAAAATACGCAACTTTGATTATAGATAGCAGTACATGTACATAATGTAAATTAATGCCTGGTATTACTTCTACATTTGTACATAATCAATACAGCTATAAAATCTGAAAAAAAATTAATATTGGAAATAAGAACAAAACATACGAAATACAAAATATATTTTTAAATATATCACAGGCATAATTTTGAAGAATTATAAAATAAACAGAATTAGTCAGTTAGACTAATATTAATTAAATTACATATTTTTAAAGTACTATTAAAGAAAAATAAATAATATTAATTACTTAATGACTAAGTAATGATAATATATTAATAACTTAAAAACCAAGAAGAGAAAAGCGCAGGAGTATTGTAGATGGAATGACAAATTTAATCTAGTTTTTGAACATAAGTCGAATCAGAGCAACTTCGATTTTTAGCCAAAAAATCTGACAATGGTCCCCCATTGCGAGAATTCTCGATTTTGTAAGATTGCTATAAAATAAAAACTATAGTCAGAGGGGTCTAAAAATTCCGATAAAAAACTTACACATAGCAGTATAGATCAAAATAGGGCAAGGAAGGCGGCACAAACAACAACTCCTTGTTTATTTTATCTGTTGTTTTCACCCTGAAATAATACTGGTCCTCACATACTGGTACCTCACAAAATAATACTGGTCTAAAAGATTATGAAGCAGCACCAGTTTATCATAAGAAAAAATAAAACAGTTGATATAAACATACAGGTAAAAGAACTGGAATACTATTTTCTGTATTTGGTATAAAAAATTACATCAGCATTTATGAGCTTCACCATAAATTTGCATTTATTGAAAGACAACTAGATAATATGAATATCACTGAGAAAGTAATAAGTTACATATAATATAATATACTTTTTTATCTACATTATCCATAAATAATAGTTAAACTTCATAAAATGTAACTCAGTTCCAAGGATTTAACCATTTCAACCGAGAATCTTTCTTTAATGTATCTGAATCTAATTTCTTTTGATCATTTTTAAAATTCTCTGTAATCTGAACTTGTTTCTCAGTAATTGTAATATCTTTATGAACTATACATTCTCCATTTTCTTTTAAAAATGTTGCATGAAGATCTTTCTCGGTAGGTTCTCCATAGGGAAATACAATAGGCGTAACTTTTATTAAATGCTTGATTGTCCATAATCTTGCATTGTTTTCTGGTATGTTTTTTACTATTGCTATGTCCGTTTGCTACAAGATAATATTCTATATAACACATGTAATAACAAATAATTAGCATTGTTGATAACATTTAAGGAGGTATTCTAGTGTAAGAATTAAGAAAAAAAATCTCTTTACTTCCATATTATTAAAATTCAACTATTTTAAAATATGTGTATGAGAGGATTTTAAAAAATTTAAATTATTAAGGAGATACAGTTGTTTGACCATGATAATCCTCTTCCGTTTAATATTAAATCTTGGTTATTTTAAAATTAATAGATGCAATTACTTGTGGTAAATAAAATCAGTTTTACAAGTAGTGACCATTGAATAATATGTAAATTATACCTTATCAACCAGTCCTAAATCTCTCAAGATTCGTCTTTCCCAATACGGTGTGCCTTTAACTGGTTTGACCCGTTGAACCCTAAATAATTTTGTTGGCTCATAGTCAGGATCTTTTTCATCTGGATGTCTATAATAGATAAGGTAAATTGTGTTACTTAATTATAAAATTAGTTAGAGATTTTTTTAAGTTATTTTTTGAGGTTACCTTGGATAATAAGTTATTTGTCCAAATTTGACACCTCCTGCAAACTTTGGTCGAATATAATGTCTAACTAAAGGAATACTATTATTTTTTATAAGTAAGGATGAAATAATCATGTTTTTGCAGTATTTTTTACGTAGGTTAATAACGAATGGTTAAAACTTCAATATTATGGCAGCACCGGTATTTCGAACCCTAGTTATCATAGATACAAACCAGTTATGCAATATTGCAATCGTACACCATTAGATGTCACTGACAGCACGTTCATATTATGAAATAAAACAAAACAGATCCCGCCATTTTAATTAGTATATTGACAGATGTAAAATAATAATAAATAAAATCAAATAATTACTAGTATTATTAATATAGCAGGTAAGATAGCATTATAGATATAATTCAATACACACAAGTTGATCTTTAAGTCTATAAAAAGTTTTACAAATATACTTTGCGTTTTTCTGACGTTTCAATTCCCTAAGAAACAAAATTTAACACAAAAATCATGCAAATTTCGTTTCAAGTTCTGGAGTTAACTCAAATTATGGCTAATAATAAAATTCCAAGTATTGATGCAAGAAATGAGCTTGCTGAGTTGGTGAAGCGAAAAGTTGAAATAGCTGTAAGTAAATTTGGAATAAAAATTAATATTTCTGTAAAGAAACTTTTTTTATTCCATAAAAAAAATCTCAAATTATTATATGCCCTAAGCAAGTAAATTTTTCTTTAGGAAACTCTAGCAAATCTCGAGAGACAAATATATGCCTTCGAAGGTAACCTATAAACAAAAATAAATTTATAATTTATTGTCCTTGTTCTTATAAAATGTAATTATAGGATCATACCTCGAAGATACCCAATTATATGGAAATATAATTCGTGGGTGGGATAGATATTTGGTGTCCAATAATAATTTATCGATTAGTTCAAGTAATGCAAATAATAAAACAAACAATTCGAGTAATTCAAATTCCAAGCATGATAAAAGGAACAGGAAATTCAAAGAAGCAGAAAGGTTATTTTCTAAATCCTCAATCACGTCAATGGCAGTAAGTTATTTGTTAGATATGTGTATTAAAATTTGATTTTTCAAAATTATATAAATGTTTTTTATATAGGCTGTATCAGGACTCATAGAACCAAACGAACAAAAACGTAAGTTAATATATTATTTGCTACTATTATTTATTTTATTTATTCCTGTATATAGTTTTTAATTTGAATTTTATTTGTTATTTTATTTTTGCAGATTTTGATTCAAAGAACTGAAATCTTAGTTTGTTTTGATGCAATATATTTTTAAGTTTCAATAATTTAAGGATTTTATATTATAAATGTGATTATTAAACTAGTTCTTAAAAATATTTATTTTTTTATGTATTTTTATATATGCAATAAAATATTAGCATTAAATATTTTTTGTTTTTATTTTATGTTATTTATTTTAATTTAGTGTAAGTGCAATATTATTTATTAGATTTTGTATTTTGGTAGAATATTCAATTACACAATTTTGATAATGTCATCTTGTAGTAAAAAATCATGCTTCAACTTATTATTTTAAATGCTGTTTACTGATTTGAATATTTTGGTATACAATTGCATTTTTTGTGTGAAAAAACTATTAGTTGATTTGATATTGCAGAAAATCGGGAGGAAATGAATTCTCCAGCTCGAAGTAATGATAACGACTCTTCTGATGAAGGTAGCATATTTTTTATACAATTGGTTACCCCTTATGGTTTCATCAATATGATATAAAAGCTAAAAGCAATGCATTTATCTAAAGCCCCGAAACGATTTAATTAAGCAAAATGTTTTTAACTATATTATTGCAATTAACTTAATCAATTTCGTTAGTTTACTTTATTTCATGTTCATAGTACCACCAATTTGCTATTATACTTAAATAAAAAAGCTGCCAATATGTCACTTTACAAATTTAATTATAATGAAATTGGCATCATTTTTCAATAATACTTTGTAATATATTATTATCAAACTACGTAACTCATTCATTAACATTTTTCACTAATTTATTTCAGGATTAATTGGAGATATTCCGAAAAATACCTCAGGAAAACATCAAACCGCAAACACTTTTTCATCTAGTACTAATAATACAACAAATACAAACAATAATTTATCGATGATTAATTCTGTTTCAAGTTCGAATATGGTAAATAATACTAGTAAAAACAATGTGCACAACTCTTCAAATAATATCCCAAATAACAATAACAGCAAAAATAAACACAGTTTTGATAAACGTAATGCAAATAAAAAGGCGAGATATAAATAAAAAAAACGATAAAATATAATGGTTAAAGTGACTATACTTGCTTACATCGAGATAGAATCATTTTTTAATAAAAATAGATGTTTTAAATGTCAATGAATGTCCTGTTTAATAAAATATTTTATATTACAAACTTCTTGTTTCATATTTATGGTACCAAAAGTATGCACATAGTAAACAGATAAATGTAATTTTGATATTTGAAAATTATAACGCACAATTGTTATTTACAAACTATTAAAATTAAATGTATCTCTATTAAATTCTTCAATTTTTGGTTACGATTATATTGTTAAAATTAGAAATATAAACCAGGACTATTATGCAAATATATATATATATATATATATATATATATATATATATTGCATTTTTTTACATATAAATAAAAAGACTTACCAAAGGCTCTGAATGTATCTCCTATCTAATTTGTTTGTTCGTGCAGCGGACTTTGTCCTGAATAAATATCAATAAAGAAGTACTAGCAACATTCTCCAAATTGAAAATTTGATTTTTCCTTCATACTACGAATTTTCATACCATATTCATAGTTCCTGCTTATCAGAGAAAAAAAAATTCAAATAATTCGATAAATCTTTATAAAATATACCTGAAATAAAATAATGAAAATATTATTATTGATAGTCTACATGCTGCTAAAATTACATCATTATTTTGTTCTAATTTAAAGCAATGTTTATCCAAATCGTTCTCAGGAAATTAAAATACAAATATATATTGATATAAATATATATTTAAAAGTTAGTATGTATTACGGTTGTTACCTTTTACACAGGTAGATATTATGGATATTGCATAATAAACATTAAGATATATTATATCAATAAAATAAAACTATTGCACTAAATAACATTTATAATTTTGTTCCGTATTTTAAACACAAAGGAAACAGTGAGAAAACCTAAACATTAAACATAAAACTTATATATATATTATATATATATATATATATATATATATATATTAACAAAGTTTAATAATCGAGCATAACATCAATAAAAAACATGAATTTCTTTCAAAAATTTATTTTAAATCCATACGTTTCGGCTATAATCCTAGCCTTCATTCAGTGGAAACTAAAAATAAAATTAAAAACTAAAACAATTGAATTGGAGTGGAAAGAAAAAATAAAATAGTAAATAGTACTTACAATCAGAAAATCTTAGTGTTAAATTGGAAAATTTTTAATAATCCATGGTATCAGGATATGGTAATGCACTACACTATGTATTATAAACATTAAACTTAAATTACACAATATTTTCACAAAATACTAATTTTAAAAAATCACAAATGGATAGTGTGTTATTCGTAGACTGGTTGAAGATACAATGGAGAAAGACATTTTTAAAAAATATTTTTACCAAGATTCTACACATGTGTGGAACGAATTTGCGAATCCTTTGCGCGACGTTTTTATTGTTTTGTAAGAAATTTGGTAATGTAACACATTACTAATTAATACCATGGATTATTAAAAATTTTCCAATTTAACACTAAAGATTTTCTGATTGTAAGTACTAATTACTATTTTATTTTTTCTTTCCACTCCAATTCAATTGTTTTAGTTTTTAATTTTATTTTTAGTTTCCACTGAATGAAGGCTAGGATTATAGCCGAAATGTATGGATTTAAAATAAATTTTTGAAAGAAATTCATGTATTTTATTGATGTTATGCCCGATTATTAGACTTTGTTAATACATATGTCAACATCAAATTCAGAATCATACAATATATATATATATATATATATATATATATATATAAAGAACTTGAATGTGAAATCTTGAGGTAGTAACAAAATATTCATAATTCACAATAACTTATAATATTGATTGCCTCGTTATTTTATAATACGTATAAATAATTTCTTAGTATTTGTCTAAATGATGCTTGTTCGTGAAAGAAATTATAATGCTTCAGAAATACAATCAATCTTTGTTCATAATATAGCACTAAAACAATGTAAATCAATTCGCTTTGATAAATTTTCACAATGTTTGCAAGATTTGTATATAATAGAATGAAAATGAAGAGGAATAGTTATGGAGAGTATTAACAACACTTTAGAGTCCACAGTTCCTTTTCAAAAATTCTAAAGAATATTTTCTTAATTTATATTATAATAGAGTGAAATGTGAAATATTATTACCAAAACTGAGTGGCACAATCAATGGAAAATATTGTTACTTAGACTGGAATAAAAAAATTATTTAATTCGCACATATAACAACCGATATACTTTTAAAAAACAATTCAATCACAAGCAACAAAAAAAAAAAAACAAATTTCAAGCATTACATTTAAGTTAAGATCAATATAAGTATAGATCAATGTCCCATTAAAAGGCTTAACATACAAAATTTAGATAACTAGCTAGTTGCATCGTAGAACCAGCCAAATACTCATAAGTAAACTGAATGCATTATTAAAAATAAGTAGACCAGGAACTTAATAATTTACTAGTTTAAAAATTTCCTCATAATCGATCATTTCCTAATCTTTGCATTAAAAAATCTAATTCATAATTCTATATATAAAATAACTATTCTATAAATTAGTTACATACATTTCTTTGTGATATAAGTATTTCAGGTTAAGTCAAACTCACGTGAGCTTTTGTATATAATACATCGTCATCATGTAGTTTCCTTTATATTCGTGATTGTAAATAAATAACTAAATAAATATACTCAATATGTTAATCTCCATAAATAAAATATATAATTTATCCATTTTATCATAAAAACCTATTAAAATATGTAAAAAATCTTAAAATAATCTTTTGCTTAAAAATTAATAATCACAAACAAGTGGAATTGTTTAAAATAACAGTATAAAATAAAATGCTCTGATATATTATCTAATACTGGAGTGCAGTAAGTACTTAAGTTTAAACCCGTTGTATCTCAAATAGTTTTACATCTGTGTCATACCATATCGGTGGATCGACATTTCTAGAAATAAAGCATTTTATCATGAAAATATTTGTTTATTGAATAGTGGGCAATAAATTGAAAGTTAGCTTACCTTAAGTAAATGACACCCCACATGTATGTTCTAAACCAGGCCGTGGTCCCAGGATTAGCTTGATATTTTCTGATTAGAATTGGATGGGGAACTGGTAATAATCCAACTAATGTGCCGTGTTGTAAAAATCGCAGAATCTCACTCTCATCAGTCAATCCTCTGAGAAGTATAAATGATTACATTTTATAAAATATCAGGTATTGGTCGCAAGTGGCATTTTTATGAGAAAATTTTCAAAAACTTTCCGGCATGTGTGAATAATCAACATAATCAATAAGAAAAAAATTATAAGTGATATATACCAAGCTCGAAACAAAGACAATTTTTTTTTTTTAATTGGTGGACAAAAAAAATTGGAAAAATTAAAAAAAAACGACTTATAAAAATATCATGGATAAGTCCATGGATTTTGAAACTAAAATTAAAATTCACAAATTGATAAAACTTTGAAAAAAGCATCATAGACAAAAAAATCATTGACAAAAATGTTTAGAAAAAAATCAAGGACAAGAAAAACCAAAAAAAATCATGGACAAAAGCCCACGGATTTTAAAATTGAAATTGAAATTTACGAATCGATAAAAACCTAAAAAAAAAATCATAAACAAAAAAAAAATCATTGACTAAAAATGTTTGGAAAAAAATCGTGTACGGATTTTGAAATCATTGACAAAAATTTTTTGAAAAAAATCATTGACAAAAAATGTTTTGAAAAAAAACATTGACAAACAAATTTTGAAATAAATTATAGTCCATTTTGAAAGATTTTGAAACTGAAATTAAAATTTACGAATCGATAAAAACTTTCACATTTTTTTTTTAAATAAAAATAAAAATTAAAAAAAAAAATAGAAAAAAATCATAGATGAAAACAATTGAAAGTCTACGGATTTTAAAATTAAAATTAAGATTTCGATTAAAGATCAAATTTTGGCCCACTTATACATTACATCGCAAAAAAAAACATACTTGTCAATGCAGATCTTTTCCACCTGTGGAACTAAAACTTGGAGCAGCCTCATAATTGTTTGCAACGGCAACTTAGTCCTCCAAGAATTTACCCATTCGCTTGTAGCATGGAAAATTTCGCCTTCTTTTACATCACCAGAAGAATTAGCAGCTACTCTTATACTACCCCTCTGCAATAATAAAAATAAAAAAGAATATAATAGTAATTTACTTCATAATGAATAAAGAAAGGCATATATTGAATATTATCACAAAACAAAAGTTTAATACCTGATTCACAGCTCTTTGGAATGTAGGTGAATCTAAATGATCTTTGGAATTATTTTGCTTGTCAACTGGTGATAATGGCTAAAAACAATATAAATATTTAGTATGAATAAATATAAAAAATCAAATAACATTTATCATTACCTCATTGTCCTGATTGTTTTTAGAATTTCTAGGTTCTTCCGATTCTAAGGACAATTCCTTCATTTGTTGACTAGAAGGATGTGCAGAAGCACTTTCCGTCATTTGAGCAATAGCTACAAATTCATGAGAATGATTATAAAAATATTATATTTATTGTAATATTGGTGACTAAATACAAACCAGGAGTTTTCATCAATGTTGCATTCAAAGTTCCTGGCTCGGCTGGTAATGCTGGTTTTGCTCCTTCCATTAACTCCTCAGGGGCAGTCATAGGTGAATGAGCCAATTCAGGACTTGGAGTTGAACTATTCTTCAACAGTTTTCTACCTCCTAATGCTTTTGATATGCCACCAACATCATTTGGTAAGTTTGCCAAAGCATGGAAAACTTGACGCTTTCTTATGATTGTATATACCAAATTTGAGTTACCTAAATTAAATATTATTTAATTAAGAAAAAGGTATATTTAAGTTTATTAATTTATTAACTTACCATCAAATTGGTACTGAATAATATTATTGAAAATTTCCAATAAAAAGAACACTAAATGATGATTAGCCGGGGCTGAAAATAAGAACCAAGGCGTGCTGAAAGCTTCTAAGAGATGCAGAAGTTTCGTACTCGCAACCATTGATAACGTTTTCAAATACGGAGATACTGAAAATTGATTTTTTTATTTAATAAGTATAAATAACAATAAATAAAAAATATGTACCTAATATGTTTTATCTATTATAACTTACCGTTAACCAATATTGTCAACAAACAGTCAAACAACGGTTGCAATCTTTGGTGACCAGTGGTAACAATTTTATGAAAAACTGTCACCAATAAATCAGCATGAGATCCTGTGAAAACTGGTATATCCATTGGTACAGTTGCCGTGTAAGGTTTATTTAACCTGACTCCAAAATTCCTTTCTCCTGATAAAAGTAAAAGTATGAAGACTCCAATATGCATCAATCCTACTCTAGCTACAAATTGATGGATACAGATTAATACATAGCATAGAAAAAAATTAATAAGGAATAAACACAAAGAAAAATAAAACTTACATTGATCGGCTCTAGAATCATTTAGATGATACAATATTGGCACTAAAACTTCTAAGACATCGCTACTCTTCAAAACATAATATAAAAATTTCTGAAAACAAGTAACCATTTAACATATCATTCATATATATATTTAGATATATAATATAAATCAGTATCTGAAGACAAAAATAAAGATTTTCATTCATATTCTATTTTAATAAAAAAAAAAATCAATTTTTCTATTACTGCTGTTATTATAATAATGTGTAACACATTATCATATATAACCTTAAATTTTTTTTAATGATATGAGCTCTGATTAACAATTAGCTCAATTATTATTAGCATTTGTTATTGTTTTTGAAGTAAAATCTCTACAATAATGCATCCAATTGCTTACCAAACTCAAAATATTTAATAATCTCAATAAAGAAAAATAGAATCAAAACAATTTCTAAAATAAATATACCAGATACTTAATACCAAATGAAGGAATAACTTAAAATATCTTATTACCATTAAGCAATTATTTCAATTTACCTTGTTGTAGTCACATATTTTCCAGAAGAACACTAATAATTCTTGATGGCAATGCACTCTTTTAGTAGAATTAGGCAGATAGCTTTGAGTTAGTGGATTATTCAACAGTCTTGTTATTCCTTTCAATATAAAACCAAAATCTTCATCTCTATGTATACGTGATAAATAATTTATAAATAAGTTGTCACCGGGATTGCCCTAAAATAAAATAAATAAAAACAGAATAGAATTAAATTATATAAAATGTCGATTAAGGAAATAAAAACCAACCTTAAAAATAATTATATATGAATTATATTCTTTAGTAAAACTTACCTCATCTACTTCAATACCAGTAACATCATGATCCAGGGTTACGATTAAAATTTGTAAAGCGGCTTCCATTAGAGGCTCCATAGTGTCATTGAATAATAAATGATTATATGGAACTCCCAACCCCACAGGATCATAAGCGCAAACAGTATTTAGTAATGAAGTGAACAAGGGCAGAGCATGTCGATTATCACCACTAGTTAGATATCTTAAAAATATATATATAACAAAGATTTATAAAAATTTATTATATATATATATATATATATATATATATAAGATTTATTGAATTACTGAATTGAAATATAGTTGTAATGATTGGAATAATTGCAATATTTGCTCATAAGTAATAATTTGTAAATAGAGTTCACTTACGAAATCCATTTATTAGGTTCTTGTGGTCCAGTAGGATTAGATGGTGGTTTATACATTGTTTCACTGAAACATGTTAGTAATAGTTTTAATAATGCCGTTCTTCTTTGCTCAATTAATGGAGTACGTGGAGGTGCCTGAGCAAAACCAACACCAGCTTCCCAAATATATTCACAACTGTCTATATTAGATAATTCTTCAGCTTTATCCTGTAAACATAAATGATAGTGAATTCATGCATTATAAAAAATAAAATTAATTTATTTAAATAAGAACATGGCATCAATATTGTATTTCTTATACATTCGTATTTAAGGAATTTGAAAGCCCTTTAATAATAATCATATTATTTAATTAACTTACTGGGCCAAGTCTCCTGCCACCGACAACAGTAAAATCAGGACAAAACAACAAATCCTGAAATCATAACAAATCATATAAATATTAAATCCTCAGTATTTCTTAAATTGTAAGATATAATAAAATATAATTATGGCATTACACAAATAGCATTCAGCAAACTTTCAGCTAAAGGCACAGCCGCTTTTTCATCTTGTGAATTTGAGTTTGGCAAGGAGGACCAAAAGAATCCTCTCCAATCTGAATCTTCGAATATATATGGCAGAATTCGTAGTAGCAAGTGAACACAATTCATAACTGAAAAATAAAATAGTAGTAATAAAATCAAATACAGATATAATAATTATTAAACATACATGAAAATATATTGTTACTAAACACATGATGATCACTTATAATTAAGTAGAGGTTGAACATAGAGCATTAAAAATTAGGACACTTTCAAAAACCATGCTCATTGAGAAGATTTAAAAATTTATTATTATAATAAATAATTGGGAGAATTTTTGTACAAAAGTCGACCATAATGATGTTAAGGTTTCAAAAAAATTGTATAAAATGAAATATTAATATATTAAAAATTAGCTGACAAGCAAGTTAATGAAAGAAATCAAACCTGTTTGCTGCTCATTTTGAGTTCGACAACTGCTATCAACAGATTTTACTAATCTTTCAACTGCTTTATAGCAAAGAGTTGCTAAATTTGATGGAGATTCTTCTCGTAACACCCTTATCTTAAAATGTTTCAATATTATGTTAGCACTAATACAATATAATATACAAATATACAAACATATATATATATATATATATGTATATATATATATATATATGTATATATATATATATATATATATGTATAAATTAATTATTTGAATATTATTACCTCATTATCTGGAACAAGAGCAAACACATCTTGTATACTAGCAGAATGTTCAGACCAAAATTGTTCCCAAAATCTGTCATCATTAGCATCTACAGGCTTAAAAAGATGATTTCAATGATTTTCACATCCTGATAAAAATTATAATACTTTTAATTCAATTTTGTTAAAAACCTGTGACTTTGATGTAAGTTGCACAACAGCTTTTCTGAAATTTATTTTTGTGTCTGCATTGCCCATTATTTTTGGTGGGTTTATTAACGTTATAAAAACGATAGAATGTGAGTTTTGTGTATATCAAATACAATATATATTATAAATCTAGTAAAACATTAGCATCATTTGGCCATTACTGAAGACTGCCATACAAACGTCATGTACGTCAAGGTTGGTTGAATTGTTTGATAAGTTAAAAAATCTGTTTGGTATGCACGAACGGTGCTAGATGTCGCTAGGTTAGTGCACGTTGTCATGTTGGCAGCACTTCGCCTTGAAATATGTAACAAGATTTTCGAAATTTGCTTTTTTACATCCTCTTCCGTAAACTCAATGTTAATATTTTGTATTGTTATTTAAATTAAATTAAATAACACATAGTGTTATTCGTAGATAAAAAAGAGTGGTGTTATTGGTGTTTCATCATAAAGTAAACTAAATTAATATAGAGTCACATACGAATTTGCCATTATCCGGAGCATAGATAAGTAAGCATGTCCGGACTACCAACTACCAACCGCGACCAATTGCTATGCATGTACATTCCCACAATTCAAATTTTTGCATGATTAATGCTGCAATTTAGAGTATGTATGTAAAATGTAATCTAATAAAATATGTACATACATAAGGAAGTGTTAATTTCTAAATAAACATTGATTTTAGTTTATATCTATATATGTAATTGTTATTTTTAATTATAACACAATATTATTCTTCATACATTTGATTATCCAGATTTTCGTTCATACGAATGCCCATAGACAATAATTAATCCGGTTAATCGAGTTTCTGCTGTATATAAAAATATTATATATAAGAACTGAAAATGAAAATTGTATATATCTTAACGTTTCAGAGGTTTCTGAATATTTTGGCATACCTTAGAAAAAATGGATGTATGTGTGTGTCTGTACGTGCGGATACAATTTTTCGTCGAAGATTTCGAGAACACGGATTAACCGATTTGAATAATTCAAAGAACATACGATTTGTATCGATAAGGAGACGCGCTGATTAGTTTTTGGCAAAGGCAGGTCCAGCCGATACGGAGCAAAATGTGCCAAATATATCCAATTAATATTAGTCATAAATAAATAAATTTTTATTATATTTTCTGTAACAAGTATTGTTAAATAAGCGATTTTCTGTAGAATAAATCAATAAAACTTCTTAAAAATTATTTGAAATACAATACTGTTTTATTAAATATACTAGATCGCTTTTTACAAATACACGTTTTCAATAAAATATGTTACTCTTAATCTACATATAAAATATATTTAAGTCAAAATAAACTATTATTATTTTACACGACAATATCAATATTATACTTCATTAGTCATTGTAAATATGACTTGAAAATATTGAAGACCAATATAAACATTTAATAAATATATTTGAATATAATTATACATTGGTCATTATAATAATTAAAATATAGAAAATTAAAGTGTTCTTAAAATATAGAATATTGAAATACTATTTATGTAAGTATTTATTTAATAATTAAGTAGAGTTTGGCTTATCACAAAGGAAGACGTTAAATATTGCTTAACATTTTGGAAACACTATGATTTTTTTAAAAAACTTATATTAAGTCAAATTGTTTAAATTTTTTATGACTAAAATACTTCAATCATTGGAAGCTCTGAAATCTAATTGCATTGCAAGAAAGTCTTCAAACAAATTTTTAATTTATATTTGTAAAATTATATGATAATATGGAAGCACTGCATTGTGATATAGGATTTTTTTTGCCCCAAACTTTGGAAAGGAAATAATTTGGTAATGATGGAGACATTTGAAATTAACAATACTTCATAAAATACAGAAAGAAACTATTATTTTAAATTAAATTTTCTTGAAATTAAACAGAAGTCTAAATTCTTTATTCTTTTTTCTTGAAAACAACAAATCTATCCTGACCGATTGTTTAGTGATTTTTTTAAAAGAAAAATGACTATTAAAACTAATTACGTTCTGGTTTCTAACCAAAAATATATCTATATTTTTCTCATATAAAAAATTTCCATATGAAAAATATTGATAATTTATACATATACATATGGATATGTAAGCATATATAATATATAAAACTATTTAAAAATACTTTAAGAATAATCTATAACAATGAGCGTTTTACTTTATATCTAAGCGTTTTCCTATGAGCGATAACATGCAAATAATTGCACACTTTTCCCAAAAAAAGGAAATAATTACAAATTTATTATATACACTTGATTTTTTATCCTTTAAATATTATTTACAAGTCAGTACAAAAATACCTTTTATTATAAAGTAAATTATTATTTACACCGACCTAATAAATTTTATAGATATTTTACTCAATATACAAATATTGTTATTGATAAATAAATCATTGTTAATATATTGTGACGACTACAAATTTATATCTAATTTAAAGAAAAACGAGTTATATAACTCGTTGTAAGGATACATATATGAGTTTTAAAGGATACATATATGTATCCTTAAGAATTCATATTCAATTCATTAAAAGCATATAAATTAGGCTGTGAAAATACTGTATGTTATAATATTAAATAACATTAATATTTAAATTAAAAGCAGAAAATAGTGCTCTCAGAATTGATATGATAAATGGAATACCTCAAATTATACGTGATTGAATTATTATAAACTTCGTAATTTAGCTAATATTTTACTTCATCTCTTTCTATATGCACATTAAAGTTTCTTGATAAAAATTTCTATTATTAAGAATTTATTGCCCAATTATTCCAAAATTCTATTAATTCTATTAACCTTCTTATGCACATCTTTTGTGAATTTATTTCACACTAAATGTTTTCTTATGGATTGTCTATTTCTTCAACTGAAGAAGACCATCATAGTTTCGAAATTCCAACAAGGTTACAATAACAAACCTTACACCTTGTCATGGGTTCATTAAAACACTATAAACTAATTAGTTCATTTTCTGTTCAAACTTAAATTAAAACTAGCACAAGTCTTTTCGGATTAATTTCACACATTTTTTTTATTTTATTTGGCTAACTGTTTCCAGCATTAGAACCACGACTAAGAGGCCTGTGTTTAAATTCGTTTTCCCTGTTTCCTCCTGATGGTGATTGTGGTGCAGATTGGGATGTCCTGCGTCCTCCACAGTTAGGACAAGAAGATCCTGTTCTTTTGGCCAAGATTGAGCGAAGTTTCAGGGCAGGTCCCAATTTCATGCCCAAGGATCCCGTTAAATGTTCTTCGGTCAGAAGAGGCAGTCCGCTTCCGTCTATGCATTGGTCTCGAAAGTTCTGAAATAAAAAAGAAAGGTTAGAAATATTGCAAGAAAATTGAATTTCATATTAATTAATTTCAGTTTAATACAGATTCTAGTGTAATTGAGAATATTGGCTAAAACATCTAGTACCTAACTATATTGTAATGTTTTTTAGTACAACGGATCGATGATACTAACCAAAAGGTCAATATTGCTGATATAATACGGTTTATATTAATTATTTGATAATCTCAGTTGTATTTCTTATAAATTGTGATCTAGTTCAATCATAGTAGTTTCACATTGTGCACTTATTTGATATTTTATTAGATCTCAAAAAGATGTTTATGTCTTGTGCATGTGTGTGCGGATAGAATTCTTCGTCGACGATTTCGAGAACACAGATCAACCGATATGAATGATTCAAAAATTCAAAATTAGTTACATTTCTTATAAAAAGTGATCTAGTTCAATTGTAGCAGTTTCACGATGTGTTCATTTATTTGAAATTTTCTTACTTCTCAAAAAGACGTTTATGTTCTCGGCAGGAAATCCTTATTTTACGTTTTCTCGGTGTTTTAGTCATTTTGAATCGTTTGATATTGAAGCCGAGAGTATAGGAGATAATATTTGATTTTTATGATTTTAAAGCGCGAAATGAATTACGTCGATCTTTTGTCCACTTTTTAGCCAAAAATCCTGATCCGATTTTAAAAATTAAAAAACGGCTCAAATAATATTACTTAGCAATCATGCTGATTAGTTTTTGGTAAAGATCGGCTGAGCCGTTCATTGTTGAACAATTTTTAATAAAAGTTTAAACATCCTAACATATTATGGGTCTACGACAAGTGATTTAATTTAAAAAAATCAGAATTTTAAAATGATAAAAGACTTGATAGTCTCATAACAAAAAATTGAGTAAAAATAAAAAAAACTTGAAAATAATACGATTTTTGCTAATCAAAAAAAAAAACAAAAAATGGTCACAGGTTGACCAAAGCTGTAGGTTATACTTAAGAGCTCATAATATTAAAAATGCATGGAGTATTTTTTTTTATTTTTTTCATGATATTTACGATGTATAATAACATAACGTTTGATTTGACGTTGAATTCTGAGTCACCTTATATATTTCATTTATAGCTTTAATTGATAGCCTAGTCAATTTAGACTAAAAATCAGGGTGAAGGTGGCGTAAATTCATAATGGGCTGTAACTTGGTAAATTTGCTTAAAATACAATTATAAAAAAATCCCATCAGGTCAGTCCTCATCGTTCCGGTATGAACTAAAAATTCGAAGCAATTAAGTTAATTAAATTAAATCAGGTAAAACTCGAGAAAAACACAAGAAAAATCAGGGAAAATCGGGGGAAAGCGAGAAAAATCAGGAAAAATTAGGGCAAATTAGAGGAAATCGAGGAAAATAAAAAAAAAATAGAGAAAATCAGAGAAAATCAGGAAAATTAAGGAGAAATCAGGAGAAATCATAAAAAATAAGGAAAAATCAAGAGAAATCAGGATAAAACAGGGAAAATCAGGAGAAATCAGAAGAAATCAGAAAAAAACAGGAGAAATCAGAAGAAATCAGGGGAAATCAGGGCATTCAGGGAATATCAGGGTAGTTAGGAAAATTTTGCAATAGTTCCTTAAGTTTTCAATGTGATATATTTTTAAAACTGTGGCTCTAAAGTATAAATTATTAATACATTTTTTGTAAATAATTTCATGTTCTACAATTTTGTATTGGTATTTTTGCGATAAAACTGACCATTTAGCTGAAAATATATAAAAAATCATTTTTTGACCTTTGACCTTTTAACAATTTTTTAGCTCGCTCCGGAACAATGAGTACTTTTAAGATTTTTTTTATAATTCCATTTTAAGCAATTTTACCAAGTTACAACCTATAATGAATTTTTGTAAACCTTTAGTGAATATTTTAAAACGAAAGTAGTATGTTAATAGGAGTAGAATTAAAAAAAAACTTATAATTAAAAATTTAATTTATTGAAGTAATGTTTTCTTTATGGAGTTCAGTAAGAAACACACAAAACAAAACAAAGTCATTTTTTTGTTAGCGTGCCGATTGCGCCTATATGCTGTGCGTGCATTTTTTGTCGTAAATCGGCCACGTGCCCTACGGGTGCCTAAACGCGATTTACAGACTGACGGCAACCGGCAACCAGCAACTTACGGACTGACCCAGCCGGTAACTACAAATTACACGTGTCCGTCCAATCGCGCTCGATTGAACCCAACCCAACCCATACCCATGCCGGATTGCCGGATTGTCGGATTGCCGGATTGCCAGGGCGAGTTGCTTTGCTCGTTTGCGATTGCAGCAAAAAACGCATTCACATTATGCGTTCAGGATGGAATTATGGATGGCTAAGAATTAATAACGCCGGTAACATTGTTAGCTGATTAAATGTGCGACTTAATGTCCGAGAGACAATGTTGTTGAAAGAGGAATGGAATATGATAAATCAAGAAATGTCTTTAAGGGGCACAACTAGTGTGAAATTTTCAAAAAAATCGAATTTTCAATTTTTCCATATTTAAATAGGTTATACCTTTAAAAATAACATACCAAAATTTTAAATCAATATCTTAAATAGTTTTTGAGTATAGTATATATATAGAATATAGTATAACGATCATTTTATCTTTAAACGTGTTTTTCTCGAAACAGCATTTTCCGAATTTGCTGCAGCGATTACTCAAAAACAAATAGATCCGATCACTATCATATTTTTTTTACTTGTTCTATAAATAGTTCTCCGTAAAATGAACTATAGATTTTTTGATCGAATCAAAAATCAAATTTTGGCAGTTCAAAGACGACAAAAATTTTGGGTAAAATTCGACTTTTTTTTTAAAAACGCCGCCATTTTGTCAATTTTTGATCATTGTTTTATCGTTGTTTATTTTACAGGCAATATTATCTAGTTTAATAAGATTTTTTTTTTTTAAATTTCATCCACGTAGTAGGTCGGAATCACTGCAGCAGTGAAGGGCCTTTTTTCGCGCCGTTGGAGATCGACGATAACTTAAAAAATATTTAATTTTTTTCTTCAAAAATTTTACTCTGTATACTTAAAACGTGCGTAAATATATTCCCAAAATTTTGAAATGTTTGATAAAGTATTTTTTTAATATAAATTCCCAAAAATCACCTTTTTTAGGCGGTCACACTAGTTGTGCCCCTTAAAGAATTGATATACATAGTACTGAACGTATTGGATTTTAAATAATTACATAGTACTGCCTTAGAGATTCAGGGAAAACTAGTGAGAGAGATTTTTCATTGCTATTTTACAATGCAGTGCTATTTTCAATTGAAAACTTATTTTTGATCTATATTTTCCGTTTCGCCATGAAACACCTATGATGACACTAATTAGATTGATATACCAAAAAAAAAAACATTTTAAAACTTTAGTATTGGTAAGTATTGGCGAAATCTTTTTTATTTCTTAAGATTCAATTATAATTCTATTTCTCAATACTAGCCAACTTTTGTAGACTGGAATATTTAATATTAATTTAAATTTTAGCGTTCTAAAAGTCTTAAAATTAAATTGTTTTTTTTTGCACTCTTGCAATAGGGGTTAATCTTTTTATTAGGGTATGGTTGCCAAAGTCGTACCCCTTATAAAAATAATGCTTAAAGCGCTTTAATCTTACCGAAAGCATATTTCCAAAAAGCATTATTTTCTAGATTTTATTGATAAATATGAAGAAATAAATGATAAATGCATTTTTATAAAGTTTTTGATCAAATTGTTAAACGCCAAGTGGTACTATCATCTATAATCTTAATCATACCTACCTCTGATACTACTACTAAAAACTATATATAGTATTGACAGATATCAATTTTTCTTCAGTTATTAGTCACCAACACGGATAATATTAAAAGTATAAAAGTAGTAAAGGTCCTTATAAATTATCAAGTCTCTGGTTAAGAACGAAGATGGAACTGTTCTTGAAAATGCAGCCATTTGGCGTTTTCCAATTTGATTCATCCAATATTTCGTCATACGTTTCAACAAAATTTACTAAAGGATTTCTATCAAACCGGTACGAATAAGAAATTTTACAAAGGTACGACTTAAGATCTTTCAAGTGTGATACAGAAACTGATCGAAAAAAATCAAAATTTTATTATTGTCATGAAAGGCTTATAACTGAGTAAAAATATTAGTAGAAACTTGACAAAATGCTTATTGTTTTAAATAGAGCAAATTCACAAAGTCGGGTATCCTTCTCGTGGATTTCAGTACACCACGTTAATATCTATTTACTTCTATTTCAAAATTCATATTTATTTTTTTATTATTTATTTATTTCAGCCTAATGGCCTAGAAATACATCATTATCTTAAGCCACAATAATACCTTAAACCTACACTTTATATACAATAAAATAAGCAGAAAAACCTAATCAAGGTGATCTATTTAAAAATTCATATACGAGTACAATATTTATAAATAAAACTGAAAAGTAAATAAAAACATTGTTCTTTTTTATATAAATGTGTGAGTTGTAGCAAAAGTAGGCATTCGATTTGTAGTCACAATACGGTTGAGCTTGCAAAGACCACTTACTTTTGACAATATATATACTTACCTTGGAAATATTCTTTGCGCTTTTTGAGACTATCATAGTATCCCTGAATATTAAGGACAAAATCAAATTTAATGATTCGAATCTAGTGATCTTCTAACAAAATTATGAACATCATTGATCTAGAATTTTATAGCATAAAACGACGTCGGGTAAATTGCGGATCCATGGCAAAGCCCAAGAATTTTACTACACAAAAAAGTTTGGTAACCTATGGTTTCAATAAAATATTGAATGTATATAAATTATTGTTATTAAATTAATATGTATACTTTGACCAACCATGGTTCTAGATCTCCTCTTACGCACAAGAACATGTACGGACAGAAAAAAATCAAATGAGAAAAGACAAAAAAAAGCAAAAGCCAATCGAACAAGTGCGCTTTTGAACTACCACCTCT